ATATTAGGTTTCAAAGAGAAGGCATAAAATTTAAACATTTATATGAGCTGCATAATCTCTAAATTAGAAAGCACTGTGGAAAAAAAAATCATTAACCTGAAGAAAATATAGAGCTTGCATTGCTTCAAAACTGTGCTTCTTATGTAAAAAAAATTAAAAAACAAACTTGCCCCTGAACCATCCACTGTTTCCAGTTGCAGAAATAAAGATTGCTTGATACAAGCAGAATGGCACCTATTAGATTTTATTTCACTTAATCACCCTCTGAAACTCAAATGGATATTTATTCAGTAGGTTGGAGAACACAATGAGAACCACTCACCTGTTATCTCCCTTACAAATGTGACCCAGTGCCATTTTCATAGTATAATGATACGAGGTGACACTGAGCCAGCTCTGTGTGGTTTTCTCCAGTGTGATTGAAGAAGCCGTCTCATGCCAAATAGGACGGCTTCTTACTGAGCCAGCTAATCCTGAGAGATGTGCTAAATTATTATTATCTGCTGCCATCACTGGCTCTCAGGAAGCAGAAAGGATTTCAGAGATTATTCACAGTCCTGTTTTAATAACTCTCCTGTTTGGGCTGATGTATGGTCATTAAAATTTTACAGGGAGTGATTAAAGTGGAAGTAGATTTTTTTAATAGATATGGGACTTATAAAATGCTATCTTTTCTTAAAAGATACTTGGAAAATCTTTTTCCAAAATAGTAATTTGACCCACAGGACATAGAAAAACTGCCAAAGCTCCATCTATAAAGTCAACAAAAGGGAGATAAAGTGAGGAAGAATGGCTGCAAGGGATTCACATGAGAAGTTGAAAGAGAATGCCTTTCTTTATGGATCCAGTATCTTTGGGGATAAGCCAATGTCACTTGAGGAAACAGAAGTGTCAAAAGAAATAATATAGGCAAGAAAATTCTGTTCCTCATATCTAATAAATATGCAAATAAATATTGGAAATTGGGTTGAGAAATGTTCAACTATTTATTATAGGTCAGTTTTCAGAATTTGGAATGAAAACTTAATTAGTTGGCCTTAGATACAACAGGGACAGGTCTTGGGAAAAGGGGTAACTTTACAAATGTTTCCTGAGTATTCAAACAGCTATTTGACATTGGCCAAGTCCTTGTGTATTTTGGGCTTGGGTGAAATGTGAGATGCAGCTTATTGCAGTGGTGTGAGCTCGCCATGGACCCCAACTGTCTGCATTTGTCTTCTTGCCCAGGGCCTATCTGGGACTGTAAATTTGGCAAGTTTCTTAAGGACTTGGTGCTTCCTTTCCCTCATCTACAAAATAAAAATAATAATACCTGCTTCATAGGGTTGTTTTAAGGACTGAATTAATTAAAATATTTAATATTAGAAAATGTACTGTAAAATAGTACAGAATTCTCTATTAGTATTGCTATTAATTATTCTGGACACAATTATTTGTCTACAAAAGGAGAGAGTGGCTGAGTGGTGTCTAGCATCTTATAATACTGAGTGATCTATAGATGATACATAGAAAATTTTCTGGAAGTGGCAAGTTATAAGAGAAATGCTATACGCTGTTTTTCATGGTAGAGTAACTACACACTAAATGCCAACTTTACTCCCCTTAAGATAAAATGTTACTCTGTTTCATCGTGGAACTTCATATCTACTCTGGGATTTGTATGTCCTCTGGTGTCCACTAAGGAAGATATTATTCCCTTCTTTGGGATACAACTAAATACTGAAACAGATTATTTGGTTTTCAAAAATATGCTTATATGGTCTTAACAATTTTTATGAGTCTTGCCTGTCTTTTGACTAGGCCATAATGCAAAGTTCAATCAAGAGTGGCTTATTGGAAATTTGCCATAAGCTAAATATTCCCACAGATGAAATAAGTAAATTTTGCATTGTTCAGAATATACAACTTTTTGCATTTTTGTCCAAGTAAGTTTGATACTATTTTGATATAAGCTGCTTATCTTTAGTAAACAATGTAAAGGATACTTGGGGTCCCCTTTCTTATAATTACTAGTGTCAAATCTAAAAATTTTATCCATAACTCCACCATAGATAAAATTCATTCCCTACAGAATCACTCTCTGAAGTTGTATCTTCAACAGAGCTGCACGTGGTCAGAATCATATCCTTTCATCTCCTCCAAGAACACCAGACTCTCCTGAAATTGTGGACATAGGCTTCTCCTCTTATGGTGCTGCCAGTAATAAGATACTTAATTTTGAGCTCATAAGAATTAACATGGCAAAATGCTGCTAAATGACTAAATATTCATGGGGTTCATGTATGGTGTTAAGTAAGGAACAAATTTTAATAGGTTGATCCATTGTTCCATTTCTGGGGCACTGTGTGCATTAGTCATTTAAAAGCACATTCCACATACCCCAAAGATGAAGCAGAGAACAATCATTTGGAGATTAGGGCTCGATGAGCTTTCTGATAAAATAAGCTTTTAGAGAGAAAAGACTGGCTTCCACTGATCTCCTTAGGATAGATTTAATCCCAAAGTAAAGGTAATGGACTAGTGCCAAAAAATTACTTGGGATAATAAGAAAGTTTTAAAAATAAAGACATGAGGTCATGCAGGGAAACAGTCAGAATTAAGGATGGTCTAGTTAATAAGTTATTGTATATTCTTAGTTCAGAAACTCACACTTGTCCAACTAGAGTTAAAATTGAATGACCAGGTCCTCAGCCCTTCTTTCTTAACTCAGTAGAATCTTTGGTCACACTCAGGTTGAAGATAATCATGTACATCATTTAAAAATGGAACAAACTCGTCAAAACTAAAACTTGTTCAGACAAGTTATAATACATATAAATTCACACTGTAGCAGAAGAGTTTTCACAACTTTTATTTAACTCTTTACTGTATGAGCATTTTTTTCTTTCAAAACATACTTTCCATAACAAACATATTTTCATTCATTTCTAGTCTTCCTCCTTTTCCTTTTCACCTTTTTGAATATTTTTCCATTTTGTCAACTGCTCACTTTTCATTATTTTTCACTTTACAATTGCTGGACTTTCACAGGAACTATGGTCTCTGATATGCACATGTAGTATGTAGTACTTCATTGATATATAGGTTTTCTTACATCTTCATTCCTATATAGTAGTTGGTGCAGCCTCACTGGGGAAGAAAAGTTTAATTCCAGTGGTTCTTCAAACCTACTTTCAACTGTTCTTACTACTCTTTTCTGATTCGCCCAACTTTTATAGTAATAAACTGCCCATTCTTTGCACTGCTATACCTGAGCCTAGAAGGATCAAAAATCCCCTTGAATTTTCTTTTTGTGAGTCAAAGATAGTTATTTTACATTTCAATCCCTCAGCACCTGATTCTCACTACATTACAACAAAACAGAAAAGACATTTTTAATTTTTAAAATAAAATGCAGAAAATGACAACTTAGTTTTAACTCTATCCTTCACTTTGAGCCCCTGTCCATTCTTTGAATAAGTAGCATCAGCATGTCTATGTTGACCTGTAAGTGATTTCTGTAGGCTTTCCTAGCACCTCATCCACCCACTGGAACAACACTGGCACCAGGGCCTGATACTGAGCAGAGCGTCTACCTCAGCACTACAACCTCCATCTAGGCAGCTCCCCCACCATTTGCTGAGGACCTGTTACAACTCAGTCATCACAAACTCTCAAACAATAAGAGAGTTGAGTTCCTCCCTAAATACTAAAATCTTAGACTAACCCCCCTCCAGAATTATCACAGAAACTAATTAAGATTCTGCCAAGAAACAGCCAAAATGGCTGTTTTTTTGTACACTCCTTTATAGTGCACCAAAAAAAAAAAAAAAAATCTTAAGATCTGCCCTGTAAGTTGAGATCAGAGAATTATTCCAAGCCATGTTTGCTGTGCACACACCATGTGTGCACATGTACACACACACACATACACACAAACTTAATTTCCAATGATACCCTGGAATTCCCCACACATTCCATTTCTATACTCATTGGGTTTCTTCTCCCTGCATTCTTCCTTCCTCCGTTTTCCCAGCCAGCTTTGGGAATCCTAAATCCCTACAACTTCATTTTTTTAACAAAATATTTTCTCTATTTTTGTTCCTTAATGTAAGTGTTTCCCCCCAAAATATACTTCTTCCTCAAAGCCCACTTTCAGGATGCAGGCTCACCTTCTCAAGCGTGTATACCTGAGACCTGAGTGCAGGAGGACCATACCCTCAGCTCCCCAACATGACCTCCAAACTCTTTTGTATATCCTGCACTGAGATATTCACAATTCAGCTTAACAGCCCCAACTACCCATCATGTATCTAGAGCTCATTGAATATCCGGTCGCTTTAGTAGGTACCCTGATCATTCTTTAGGAACTTCAACTTTGCTCCATTTCAGACATCTGAAGCCCTGGGTTCTGCCATCACCCACAGCTTCTCTCTGACAGAAACATCAAGTTCCAATGCCCAGTTTTGACAACAACCTCTGAGAGGGTGGATTTTTCTTTAATTTGTTTCAACCACTCTAATATTCTTTTTCACTCATGCATACACCATCTCCATAGTCATCTACCAGAATACAATTGTCAGTGTTGCTCCCATATTTCAACTTCAGTCTCATGAGGAGGTAAACCTCATGTTCTTAGCAGGTCCAGAGTCCTTCTACCTCTACTCCTCTTTTTATGACACTTCCTATGTCTCCAGTTTGCACTATATTGATTCCCAATTATTTGCATTTTTTAAATTCACCCAGATTTTCTCAGTGCCAATTACTCTGCTATCCTATCTTTGAGCTTCATCCGCTAAATGAATAAATGAATGAATGGAGAAAGGATAAACTCACACATGCCAAAAAACATTAAAGAATACATAATAATGAAAAACTACTATTCCACTCAGGTTTTATTTATAATACTATAAAAGACAAGATTATGATCTTGCATGTGACTTTTAAAAGAAGAGATAATTATTTTTTCAAACATCTACCAGTCGATCAGGTAAATATGAAATCTTTTTTCTTTTTTTTGGCCAGGTAGAGCACAAACGCAGTCCCCCACTACCACAAATTATGCCGTTGAGTTTCCCACATTTGGGGAAATGCCGAGGGTCAGCACGTCTGGAGTGCAGTGGCTAAACCTCTCTCCAGGAAAACCACCTTTGTGCTCATGGTATCTCCCCTGCCAAGTAAGTATTAAAAATGAAATCTTTACTGTGTGTCAATTTACCATTTTTGATTGTTAGTGAGATTGTATATATTTTTACATGTTAAAAGATCATTTTTACTTGTTCTATGTGAATTATCTTGTGTTATTCCTATTTCCATGAAATGAATTAGAAACTTGCACTAATTTTATATGTACCTAAGTAATTTGTAATTGCCAGAAAATTACCTGTTTCTGATAATTTTACAATAATTATCCCACATATTTACTAACAAAGAAGTTTTAATTGATTGGGAAAATACTTTAAGCATTTTACCTGCTAATATAATTTCTATTTATGTATAGATTCTTTACTGAATTTTAGTGATACTTTAGGACAATGGACAAGGGTTTGGATATACATGTAATGTGCTCTAATTTCACATTTTTTACTTTATTTTTACCATTGACACCATTACGATGTCCCCATCCCCCCCGCCCCCACCTTTGCTGGCCTCCACCCAGCCCCTGCCATACTTCCCTCTGGCCACCATACTGTTGTCTGTGTCTATGGGTGATGAACATATGTTCTTTGGCTAAACCTGTCACCTTCTTTCATCCATTTCCCACCACCTCGTTCCCCTCTGACAGTTGTCAGTTTTTGCCATGTATCTGTGCCTCTGGTTTTGTTTGTAAGTTTATTTTTTTTATCAATTTCCACATATAAGTGAAATCGTATGGTATTTGTCTTTCTCTGACTGGCTTGTTTCACTTAGCGTAACAATCTCCAGGTCCACTCATGTTGTTCCAAAAGGTAATAATTTCTTCTTTTTTACAGCTGAGCAGTATTCCATTGAGTAAATCTAACACAGCTTTATATCCACTCACCTACTGATGGGCACTTGGACTGTTTCCAGATATTGACTATTGTAAATAAGTCTGCTATGAACATAAGGGTGCATATATTCTTTCTGATTGGAGTTTTGGGATTCCTAGGATATATTTCCAAAAGTGGGATCCCTGGATCAAACAGCAGTTTGCTTTCCACCAGCCTGCATTCCCACCTACAGTGCACTAGGATCCCCTTTTCTCCACATCCTCACCAACACTTGTTTGGTAATTTACTCATGATAGTCATTCTGGCAGGTGTGAAGTGATAGCCCACTGTGGCTTTAATTTGCACCTCTCTGATGATTTATGATATTGACCTTTTTTTATATGTCTATTAGCCATCTGTATGTCCTCTTTGGAGAAGTGTCTATTCAGGTCCTTTGCCCATTTTTTAATTGGATTGTTGGCCTGCTTGGCATTAAGTTGTTTGAGTTCTTTATATATTTTGTAAATTAACTTCTTATCAGATGTATTATTGGTAAATATGTTCTCCCATACAATGGGTTCCCTTTTCAGTTTTGTTTTGTGTTGTTTGTTTGTTTGTTTTTACTGTGCAGAAGACTTTTAGTTTGATATAGTCCCATTTGTTTATTTTTTCATTGTTTCCCTTCCCCTAGGAGATACAGCAGCAAGAATATTGTTACAAGAGATGTCTGAGATTTTACTGGCTTATTTTTTTTCTAGGATTTTTATGGTTTCACAACTTACATTTAGGTCTTTTATCGATTTTGAGTTTATTCTTATACAAGGTGTAAGTTGGTGGTCTAATATTCCAAAAATTTATATGGAACCAAAAAAGACCTTGAATAACCTCAGCAATCTTGAGAAAGAAGCACAAAGTTGGAGGTATCACACTACCTGATATGAAACTATATTACAAGGCCATTGTAATCAAAACATCCTGGTATTGGCATAAGAACAGGCATATAAATAAATAGGACAGAACCAAGAGCCCAGAAATCAACCCACATCTTTATGGTCAACTAATATTTGACAAAGGAGGCAAGAGCATACCGTGGAGTAAAGACAGTCACTTTAATAAGTGGTTTTGGGAAAACTGGACATGTACATTGCAAAAAGTATACCTTCGCATTTAAAGCAATAGGCTAAAGACTCAGCGTTTTCATGCAGAAGATCTGGTTTTAAGAACTAAATGCATGTGCTTTAATAATAGAAAATTGATTTTCAGAGGACATTGTTTCATTATTGTTGTTGTTGTTGTTTTTAATTTTGACCTAGCTCCAAAAATGATGTAATTTCATCACAAGTGCTGTCTTTTGGTAGGATGATTATTTCCAGATTGCCCCTGCACTAAGAATGTCAAGTGTTTCAAGAGTCTCAGCGTAACATAGACTCTCAGACTCACACTTCCTTTTCCCCATTTTCAGTGGAGTCCAATGCTCAGAACTCAGTTCTTCTCTATATCAAATGTCTTCAAATGTCCAGTTTCTGATTTCATTTACTGCTCTGATCTGGGCTGACATTTATTTAGTCATGTTATATACTGCAGTGAGTGATTGTCATGAGTCTTCTTTTTAGGCTACTTAACCTGCCCAATTACAAGAAATGGAAATCTCTCCTAATTAAGTTTTAAAACCAATATTGCAGTGTTATCACCTTCATTTTCACTTCACCTGTTATAATCCTCTCTCTACACTCTGCATCAGGCAATAATACATGTGCTCTCATTCTCATTCTTTGGCAAAATTATAATTTCAAGCTGTTGGTTAAAACTTCCAACGTATTTGACTAGAGCCAGGATTATGAAGTCCAGGCATCACCTTCCATCAATACCGTCCCTGGCGCTCTCATTGCTGGTGTCACTCTGTCACATACAGGTTGCTCCCTCACTTCTTGCGGGAGTATTTCTTTGTATGGGGCCCTTTTACCTTCAGCAGTTTGCAAATACCAGCAACTCAGCCTCCCCCCACCACCACCAGGACTCATCGTCGTTGAAAACTCATTTTTAATAACTTTCCAGAGTACAAAGTTCCTTTTCTAAAATTATGATTGTCAGGTAATGTTTCTTTCAGGAGAATGAGTGATAAAATTCAATAAATATGTATTAAGTACCCATTTGATATCCAATGCTCTGCTAATTTCTCTGAATGCTAGAAAATAATTTCAGGGCAAGTTTTGCCCTTGAAGAGCTAACAGATTTAAAGAAATACTTTAGTGCATCATTTATATTCAGTGCTTCATGGAACAAAAAAATGAAATCTGTAATTTTCAAAGATGGCCATGCAGATGATTGAGATAACACAGGTCAGGTCCTGTCTTTAAAATAAAATTCCTTATATCAGATATCTTCATGAAATTTTACTTGAAGAATGTGTTTTTTATTTTTTTTCATTTTGTTCTTTGTATTCTGTTGCTCAAGAAACACATTATTTGAGGCCACTTTGAAGAATTTCTGTAAATAGCATTCTGTGTTAAACACCACCAATGCTGCAGATGTTGCCAGCTTAGCAGTGAATACATAATGTGACTCCAGTGTTATAGTGTTCCTTAGTCTCTGCCAAAAAGCACAGAGACAGGAACATTCCACAGCTTCTAAATACCAACAAAAGTGCATTCCCAAGTGACAGCCCAGGTCTCCAGGTACATGTGGGTCAAGACAGAGCCAACAAGACTCACAAAGCGACCTCTCTCAGTGAAGCTGGAAAGCCTGTCCAATGCTCCAAAAGCTGATGTTCCTTCCCTTAAGGGGCAATTCTTTAACAGCTACATATTACTCTCACTCAAATGTGATCTTCATGAGATTACGTGGTGTTAGTTACTTACTGAATAGTCGTGGTCTTCATGTAGGACATGCACTCTCCAATCCAGACCAAGAACATGCTTGCAGGGGGAACAGCTACCTGATTCAGAGGTCCAACTGGACTTTGATTTGGAGGTTGAAAATGAAGAGAAAATATGAGGCATTGCCCGAGTTCTATTCAGGCATCATAATCAAAACTGACGATTCAAACAGAAAAAATTAAATATAATGTCAATTTTTCAAATAGCCATAATAACAAAAATAGTAGAAATTCTCGATAGGAACTTAACAAATTGACTTAATATGTTTAGAGATCCCTGGCTGGCATGGGGAAGCTTTTAGGATTGTGTGATAATTTGATTTCTTTTGCGATCTGGTTTTTGAGGCACCAAATAGGTCATGAGCATTCCACATTCATGCTGTGTCTAGGGGCTTTTTATACAACACACATTCTAATTTTTTCCCTTCTTGAATAGCACACTGCTATGGCTAACAGATACATCAAGGTTAACCATTCTTCTTGCCACCTTCAAAAATTACATTCTCAGAGGAATTGCACAACCAAGTCAGATACTGTGGGCACATTTAATTAACTAAATGTCAGAGACCATAGTTGTTACAAATGACATAACAGGGGAAAACAGGATAGGGCATAACCTTGAGATACTTGTTGCTAAATGTTTTTTCAAGAACTGCTCACTTGGGCGTCATGCTTGCGGTTCAAAGAGCAGTTAAAAAATTCATGAATATTTCTATAACTCAGTGACTTCAATTCTTCTATAATTATTTGATTTTAGGACAATATGAAAGGTTAAAAAAAAGAAGAGGGAGACTGTTTTACTTTTTTTCTGTCTCTGTTTTTCTCTCAAACGTAAAATTGTGTATTTAGCTGATGCCCTGCCTTTAGAAAAATTGCTGTATCAATCAGCATCTGGGGATTCATAGTAAACATATTGAGACTCTATAAACAGGGTGCATAGTTCTAAAACACAGATGCCTTTTACTTCCTAACACAGCATGGCCACATCATGTAGAGCTCAGCTGCTACTTGAGCTAGGAGAATGGAAATATTTCCAATGTCTTGAATTAAAAGGAAGTCATACTGGATTGGGATCCATTATGACTGGTGTCCTTTTTTAGAAGACAGCCGTACAAAGACGGACACACTTAAAGAATGCCATGTGAGAGTGATGGCAGAGCTGCAAGGCAAGGAGCTTCAAACATTGCCAGAAAACCAACAAAAGCTCAGAAGAGGCAAGAATGGATTTCCCTACAGGTTTTAGGAGAAGTGTGGCCCTGCTAACACTGTGACTTCCACCTTCCATCCCCCAAAACTGGGGGACAATAAGTCCCCATTGTGTTAAGCACCCTAGTCCATGACCTTGTTACAGCAGTCCTA